CGGGAGCGGCCCCGAAGATGAGGGGGATGGGTGATGGGCGGGTGGTCCCAGCCGGGGACCCAATCTCACCTGAAGCTGGGCTCCCTGGGTTGGGGTCTTGGAGGGGCCTGTGTGGGCGACTCTTCTGGAAGCCGGGAGCGGCCCCGAAGATGGAGGGGGATGGGTGATGGGCGGGTGGTCCCAGCCAGAGACCCAATCTCACCTGAAGCTGGGCTCGCTGGGTTGGAGTCTTGGAGGGGCTGATCTCTTTTTCGAAATGGTTTATTTTTAATTAAGGTATCTATCTAAAGCTCCATTTGTAAGCATTTTGACGCATTAAATGGGATGGACAGGGATAGATTCTGGCACTCATGAGCCAAAGAATACTGAGTATTACAGCTTGGATGGGAAGGTAGTCTGGCACTCGGGAGCCAAGGAATTACACCGGTCATATTAAGAATAGCAGTTTACAGCCCGGCTTCAGGGAAAGGTTTCCCCAGTTAGTCCAAGGCTATACGTGACAAGTGTGCACTGATGTCTTGGTTAGGTGTAAAATAAGAACTGAAATTAAGGCCTTCTTCAGAGAACCTCATGGTACAAAGTACAACCACGGTGTTGTTTGACTTTAGATTGGCAGTGGGTTCAGGCTTCTTTGGGAGGGGATTAATCTGTGCTGATATTACATTAGTTTTTGTGCCAAAATTTCGTCATTGTTAGGATCAGGATTGTCCAGGGCACACTCATTTTCTTGGTCTGGCCCAGACCACTTTCTCTTGATTGGCCAATGACAAATTCTCCGGATAATTGTGCTCAGGCTCCTTTAGGGTCAGGGGTTAGCCCAGGCCCATGTCTCTTCTTGCTTTGGGCCCGGGCTTTTTCAGGGTCAGGATTGGCCTGGGCACACTCATTTTCTTGGTCTGGCCCAGGCCTCTTCTTTTGACTGGCCCAGGCCAAATTCTCTGGATAATTGTGCTCAGGCTCCTTTAGGGTCAGGGGTTAGCCCAGGCCCACATCTCTTCTTGCTTTGGGCCCGGGCTATTTCAGGGTCAGGATTGGCCTGGGCACACTCATTTTCTTGGTCTGGCCCAGGCCTCTTCTTTTGACTGGCCCAGGCCAAATTCTCTGGATAATTGTGCTCAGGCTTCTTAAGGGTCAGGGGTTAGCCCAGGCCCACATCTCTTCTTGCTTTGGGCCCGGGCTATTTCAGGGTCAGGATTGGCCTGGGCACAATCATTTTCTTGGTCTGGCCCAGGCCTCTTCTTTTGACTGGCCCAGGCAAATTCTCTGGATAATTGTGCTTAGGCTTTTTAAGGGTTAGGGGTTATCCCAGGCCCACATCTTTTCTTGCTTTGGGCCTGGGCTATTTCAGGGTCAGGATTGGCCTGAGCACATTCATTTTCTTGGTCTTGCCCAGGCCTCTTCTTTTGACTGGCCCAGGCCAAATTCTCTGGATAATTGTGCTCAGGCTTCCTTAGAGTCAGGGGTTAGCCCAGGCCCACGTCTCTTCTTGCTTTGGGCCCGGGCTGTTTCAGGTTCAGGATTGGTGTGGGCACACTCATTTTCTTGGTTTGGCCCTGGCCTCCCTCCTTTGATTGTCCCAGGCCCATGTTTCCTCTCTAATGGGCCTTGGCTTCTTTAGGTAAGGGAATTCCTTGGTTCCCCGTATCTTCTGATTTGGGGTCCAGCCTTTTTCAGGGTCAGGGTACCTGTTTATCATTAGGGTGGAAGTAGTCAATCCTTTCCAGCCGATGCTTGCCCAAATCTTTGACTAAATCTTGGTCTATTTTCAGCATTTCTGAAAAATTAAAAGAAAAGTCAGGTGGACTTTGATAGTGGAAGATACTAGCATCTTAAATGTTCTCAGAACATTATTGACCTGTCCGCGGGGAAACATGCACAGACACAGACACAAGTAGCCCACAGTTCACATGAAATAATTATACAGTATATAAAGATGAAATATGTAGGAGAGAAAGCTGGTTGGGTAAGTCCTTCCTGTTGCACACCAGACGGTCTATGGTGGAGGGGATATCCATGAGCTCATGTGGAAAGACTGTTCCTTTGACTTTGTGAGATACACATAAGAGAGTCCCACCAAGACACCGTGGTATATTTCCTTCCTGTGGTCTGAACCCTTGATGGAATATCACAGTTACATGAAACAGCAGCGGTTAGTCCTCCCATCATCTGTAGGATGCCTTGCTAAGGCATAGAAGTGTCTACGGATCTTCACAAGATCTCTTTGCTATGTGGGGATGGCATCCTCTCTCTGAATGTCACACATGGCCATGTTTAGTGAGGGTATTTCTCTGATCCTTGTTTTTGTAACCCATCTCATTGTCATATCTGCTGTGTCAATCAAAAACCCCTCAGACACCGAATCTGCCCTTGTCACCCCTTTCCAGAGAGCACCCTGCCAAGTACACTGGTTTGAGATCACTTCTTCACCTACAAAATTTTCAGCAATCACTTACCTGAAATAGATCTCTGCCCACCTTCTCCTGAGCTAAATCCTGGTCCACTATACTGGACTCTGCTGCCCTCTGAACTGGGTCACACCCTGAACTATGACAGTGACCCTCATGTGAGGTCACAGAGGCCAGGCCTCACTCTGTCTGTGAAACTCAAAGGCTGTCCATGCACACAGATGTCCTTTGGGCTGGTATTTAGGGGAAGTCCCTGAAGGCTTCTCTTAAGATCATTCTTGGGAACAAGCTCACATCTAGTCTTTCTCCTCCAGGGAACTTCACCCCTGGGACCAGCATGTTCAGTAGTGAAGGGCCATACTCTACCCTAATGTGCACATTTCACCTCCTTTCTGCTGCTCAGTTTATTAATAAGTTTCTCTTGTCAAGAGATTTTAAGTGTGCCATCTGCAGTATTTTGGGTATCCAGCCGATGGAAAATGTTTGGGTACAACCTCTCCCATCACCACTATTAAACATAGCTTGCAGGAGGATTACCCAGAAAGCAGGATGTCATGAAATTCCCTTACCTGGTCCTGCCTTGAAACAGTCAATGACTTCTGAGAATGTCCCTCTGGAGATCTGCATAACAGCAGAGCTTCTTCCTGTTGTCGTTTGGAAACTGGAGTTCCAAGGCGTGTGCTGGCTCTGCCTCAGCAGCTGTCACCTTTTCTCACAAATACAGGAAGAGGTTAGTTGAAGTAAATTGACAAAATCCACTCACACATACACACAGATTCACCCACAATTATATGAACACAGGTCTCATAAGTAAAGGCTTAAGTTTGAAAATAAAATGGATAGAGTATGGCATAGGTGACTGTGTCCATTCTGGGAAGGGCCTATGAGACGAATGTAAAGATGATTTCCAGGGAGGTTCATGTCTAGAGAAGCCCATGAGAAGCACCCATACCTGTGAAGCATGTGCTCCCTGTGGGGATGTCACAAACAGGTGGGTGGTGCCAGTAATTACCATTAACATTCTGGAAGCTCAAGCCTTATGTCATAGACTATGCACTAAGTTGACACTTTCTTCAGAGGCCTCTCTTCATTAAATTTATATACAATTTATAATTAAATGTGGATAGGTTAGGGAGCTGGCTGTAGTTGTGTTTCATATTGTGTCCCTGACTTCAGCCATGCTGGGCAAAACCCATAGTTATAAAAGACCCTTCAGACCCCTGCAGTAATGAATTTGACACACTCCCTACCTGTCCTGACACTGTGGGCTGCCATAGCTGATGGTTGTCCCTGGCTTGGGCCCACTAGCAGAGTTTATTCTGCACCAGCCTGGAGACTGAAGTCTTCTCATGTGATACAGGCTGGGTGTGGACATCCCATGGCCTCTTTCTCCAGTGAGATGTGGGTGTTGTCTTCCTGAGTCCTTGTTATACTAGTTCTTTGTCACACATCCTACTGATTCTTCCTGCAGCTTTTTCTACAGCTGTAGCACAGGTCCTGTTAAAGAACCACATTGTGCCTCATATCCTTTATCATCCCTGCTCCCAGTATAGCACAGTGAAGTTCAATTAGGCCTTCACCCCAGAATCCTGTATATATTTCTCCCTCCACAGTCTGGCAGGGACTGCACTGATCTCCCAGGGCTCAGCCTTCTCCCTGGAAGGTTCCAGATCTGTCTCAGGAGGGAGGAGAGAAGATGCCCACATCCCCAGCAGTGGCTCCTTCAATCTGCAGCCCTGGGTCAGCCATGGCCTCTCCCAGGCCGGATTCTCCCACACCGGGACCAGAGTCTCCTTTACCTGATGGGAGACATGGATGCCCCTACCCCAGGCTGGTTCCCCAGTTTCTAGAACTTTTCCAAACAATGCATTGTACCAGATCCCTGTGAGTGAGTTTTACATCCCTTCCTCACCTCAATTCTATCTCTGTTTTCCTAAAATGGTCACGTGAACACTTTGGGGTACCCTGAAAAAAAAGCTCTGTTTTTTCTATTCTTTGTTCTTTCTTTTTGTTTGTATGTTTTTGTTTTTGTTTTTGTTTTGTTTTCGAGATTGGGTTTCTCTTTGGCTTACATAGACCAGGCCGGTCTCAAACTCAGAGATCCCTCTGCCTCTGCCTCCCAAGTACTGGGATTAAAGGTGTGCACCAACACAGCCCAGCCTTTCTTTTTGTTCAGTTGTCATTTTCCTTTAGTGAGTTTTTCTTACTCACTGGGTGATACTGTTTCACCCTCCCCTTTTATTATCATCTCTATCAGTCTCCACATATGTCATGGGGGACTGCTAACTGGATAATTAGACAACTCAGAGTTCCCTTTAAAGGAAACAGTCCCATGAGCTTAGACTATTTTCTGCCAGAATTAACTATCCAAACACCCACTGCTTTCCTTCTGCCTGACCAAGTTACAGTGTTACCTCTAGTGAATTAGGAATTGAACTTTCTTGACTGACAAATAAAATCCACACACTCCTGTGAGCAGCACTGTGTCCCAGTGAGCACTGCATGGGGCTCCACAGCACAGTCCCAGGGACGCTGGGTGACAACACCTTGTATCTTGTCCCCCAGAAGAAAGTTCTGGGGAGTCATTTCCTCTGCCCCAGTGTCAGAGGTTCACCCCATTTCTGCTGCACACTTGGTGTTGTCTGCTCATTTGGACAGACAGTTATGCTGGTCAGCAAGATGGCCACAGCGGTTCTGTCTCAATGGCGACAGCATTGGTTGGTGGCACTCTTATGTATCCCATTCTTCATAATTTCATATATTGATATGAATTTAATCACATATATAAATTATTTTCCATCCCTTTTTCTGTTCTTTGACCATGTAACTTATGCTATAAAACATCACATAACGAAGACCATGTGATGTGATGGGTCATGTGATTTTCTAGTAGCTTCTGTGTCCAGAATGCAGATCTGTGATGACCTGCAGGTCATTAGTGGGATGACAGTCAGAAGTGTTCAGACACATAGTTTAATCATTAATTAAATTTTGTCTTTGCAGATTTCAATTTACCTTGTTATGGTGGGATTTCTTAAATCTTTCACACAGATCCCCCAAAGGCACATGTGACCCATCATCCTGGACATAAAGGTGATGTCACCCTGAGATGCTGGGCCCTGGGCTTTTACCCTGCTGACATCACCCTGACTTGGCAGAGGGAGGAGGAGGAACAGACTCAGGATATGGAGCTGGTGGAGACCAGACCTTCTGGGGATGGAACCTTCCAGAAGTGGGCATCTGTGGTGGTGCCTTCTGGGGAGGAGCAGAAATACACATGCCATGTGTACCATGAAGCACTGCCTGAGCCCCTCACCCTGAGATGGGGTAAGGAGGGAGTGGGTGCAGAGCTGGGGTCAGGGAAAGATGGAGCCTTCTGCAGTGCCTGAGCAGTGTCAGGGCTGAGAGCTGGGGCCATGACCCTCATTTTCCCTTCCTGTCCTTCCCTTGCCAGAGCCTCCTCAGGCCTCTGTCCCCATCCTGGCAGTCATTGCTGTTCTGTTTGTCCTTGGAGCTGTGACCATTATTGGAGCTGTGGTGGCTGTTGTGAGGAAGAGGAGGAGAAACACAGGTAGGAAAGGGCAGGGTGTGAGTTCTCTCTCAGCCCCTTTTAGCAGTGTGCTCTGCCTCATGGAAACACATCCACACCTCAATTGTTCCTGTCTCTAATCTGGGTCTGATGTTGTTTCTTGAAAGTTCCTAGGGTCAGGTTCCTCCCTGGTCTCTCACAGCTTTTCTTCTTACAGGTGGAAGAGGAGGGAACTATGTTCTGGCTCCAGGTAAGTGTGGGAAAGCAGGATTGTCCCTGAGACCCTTGGGGTGGACCTGGAGTATTTGCAGACCTGTGTCACCAATATTAGCTCCTCCAGCAAAAGCTCCTAGGGGCTATGTTTTTTTTACCTGAGAGAGAGAGAGAGAGAGAGAGAGAGAGAGAGAGTATGTGTGTGTGTGTGTGTGTGTGTGTGTGTGTGTGTGTGTGTGTGTGTGTGTGTGTTCAGTGACAGTTACCAGAGCTCAGATGTGTCTCTCCCCGACTGAAGAGGACACTCTGAGACCAAACTGGCGAGGGGCAAAGTGGACATGATTGGGATTCAGAGACCCCCAGAATTGCCTGTGAGTGAGTGGTGGGTTGTTGGGATGTTGTCTTCACAGTGATTGTTCATGACTCTTCTTTGTAGCATGAAGACAGCTGCCAGGAATGGATGGAATGACAGTGTATTTAGGCCTCTCCTGTGACATCCAGGGCCCCTAGGTCCACTTTTAGCAACAGTGTCTGATGTTCCCTGTGATCCTATGGGCTGAATATGAAGAACTGGGAGCCCAGCCCAGCCCTGCACATCAGGACCCTGTCCCTGCACTGCCTGTGTTCCCTTCCATGGCCAACCCTCCTGTTCCAGCAGGCAGGAAGGGACACATTATCCTGTTACCTCCTCCTGCTCTGAGCTTCAGGTTCTAAGTTCCTCACTGAAACTAAGGATCACAATTTGAATTTGATTGTTCACATCCTTGAGCTGACAGGCTGATAGCTGTTAAATGTATTGTTGAGATACTTAGAGTTTGAGGAGGAAGTGAATGGCAGCATGGAGAACCTCCCAGAAATGTGCACATCATGTTCTGTGTCTCTGGTGTCACAGGATGAGGCTGTGGGAGCTGAGTGAGAGCAGGGCTGTGCCCGGGTGCAGCTCAATTTGACATTGGCTGTGACATGGTCACTCCTCAGCTCTGTCACCTCCTGGTTCTGTTCTCCTCATCACTTGACAGCACATCCTGAGATCTGTGATCACAGGGACACAGGGATGGCCAGAGTCCTGTCCTGTCCCAGGAGTGTGAGCAGCCAGGACTGGTGGGACAGGCCAGCCTGGGCTCTAACCTGGCTGTAGCTCTTTACCCCATATTCGCTGTTTATTGTTGTCTTTTTACTTTTTATGGAGCACTGGGCCTGTTCTTGTTCCTGTAAGTGGAGCCTGCCTCCTTATCTCTTGTGCCTCCTCAGTGACAGCATTCAAATGTGTTTCTCCTTCCTTTCCCATTAGGACCCTTCTAGGCCCCTGCACTCAGGAGACTGAGACCTAAGGACATGAACTTCTGTATCCTGAGCTCCTGCCTCCTTCCAGTCCTCTCCCTGCAGGCTCTCTCCCTCTTTCCCGTCATTTAGAATTTAAGCAATGTTGTAGGATGGCAGTGAGGAGGGATCCACAGGGTGCCATCTCAGATCTGTCCTGTTGGATCTGTTCAGCACTAAGTCCTCTCTCCCTCCCTGGCCCTGGGAAACATGGTGCTGCCTCCAGTGGTGACTCCAGGCTTAGTCTACTTTAGATTGGTGTTTATTTAAAAGACATGATCCCTTTTGTCTTGTTGACTGTGTCCTTTGCCTTACAGAAGCTTCTCAGTTTCAGGAGGTACCATTTATTAATTGTTGATCTCAGTGTCTGTGCTACTGGCCTTATGTTCAGAAAGTGATCTCCTGTACCAATTAGTTCAAGGATACCTCCATATCTATATCTATATCTATCTATATATATGGTTTCTCTCTGGCTTTGGAGACTGTCCTAGAACTAGCTCTTTCAGACCAAGCAAGTCTGGAACTCACAGAGATCCACCTGCCTCTAACTCCTGAGTGCTGGGATTAAAGGCATGTGCCACCACTGCCCACCCCCACTTTTTCTTCTATGATATTCAGTGTGGCTGGGTTTTGATCCATTTGAACTTAACTTTTGTGCATGGTGGTAGATATGGATCTATCTGCAATCTACATGCAAACATCCAGTAATGCCAGCACCATTTATTGAAGAAGCTTTCTTTTTTCCATTGTGTAAGTTTAGCTTCTTCGTCAAAAATTAGGTGTTCACAGGTGTGTGAGTTAATATCAGCATTTTGAATTGGATTCCATTGGTTGATCTCTCTGTTTTTGTGCCAGGACCAAGCTGTTTTCATTACTATAGCTCTCTAGTAGAACTTGAAGTCAGGGATGGTGATGCCTCTGGGAGTTCCTTTACTGTACAGGATTGTTTTGATTGTCCTGGGTTTTTTGTTTTTCCATATAAAGTTGAGTATTGTTCCTTCAAGGACTGTGAAGCAAGACAAAATGGCAGTCAACAAAACGGGAAAAGATCTTCACCAACCCAACATCTGACAGAGTGCTGATTTCCAAAATATACAAAGAATTCAAGAAGCTAGTCACCAAAACACCAAATAATCCAATGAAAAACTGGGGTCCAGAACTAAATAGAGAATTCTCAATAGAGGATTCTAAAATGGCTGAAAGACACTTAAGAAATTGTTCAACATCCTTAGCTATCAGGGATGTGCAAACCCAAACAACTCTGAGATACCATCTTACACCTGCCAAAACACCAGTGATAGTTTGTGCTGGAGAGGATGTGGAGAAGGGGAGCACTCCTCCATTGCTGATGGGAGTGTAAACTTGTACAGCCACTTTGGAAATCAGCATGGCAGTTTCTGTGGAAAATGGGAATCAGTCTACCGCAAGATCCAGCAATTCCAGTCTTGGGCATATACCCAAGGGATATAAAATCAAATAACAAGGACATCTGTTCAAATATGTTCATAGCAGCATTGTTTGCCATAGCCAAAACCTGGAAGCAACTTCGATGCCCCTCAACCAAAGAATGGTGAGAGAAAATGTGGTATCTTTACACAATGGAGTTTACTGAGCAGGGGAAAAAAATAATGAAATCTTGAAATTCCCAGATAAATGGATGGAACTGGAAGAAACCATACTGAATGAGGTAACCCAGTCACAGAAAGACAAGCATGGCATGTACTCACTCTTATATGGAGATTAAACACAGAGAAAAGGACTACCAGCCTGCAGTCCACAGCTCCAGAGAATCTAGGAAACAAGGACCCTAAGAGAGACATACAGGTCCATGGGTTGTGGAATCTCTCTCTCTCTGGCTAAGGAAAGCAGCTGAAGCCAGCTGTGTCAGGGATGTCCCTGCATGAAGGTCCAGAGAGGCCATTGTATGAAAGGATGACACAGTCGTGGGACACATCTCAAAAACAGGGGCTAAAACTCTGTGGACTCAGCCCAAGAGAGAAGGGTGTAGCGGTCAACAGAGCTAAAAGGAGTTAGAGATCTGAAGACTGCTTTGACATCACACATGGAGATGCAGGTTGGAGTTTGCCCAGCTGGAGTTTGGTCTTCCTTTTGTCCAGTATTCCCTCACTGTGCTCACTGTTCTGTCTCTTGGAACAGTAATGTGTATCTTGTGCCACACTGTAGGTTGGAAATATGTGCTTTACCCCTTAATTTTGATTTTAGTGAGAGTTCAGTTCAGACTTTGCCAGGATTCTCATAAGATACTTTGAACTTTGGACTTTTTATTGATTTATCTATTTATTTACTTATTTATTATGCATACAATGTTGTGTCTGCATGTGTGCCTGCAGGCCAGAAGAGGACACCAGATCTCATTGCAGATGATTGTGAGTCACCAAGTGGCTACTGGGAATTGAACTAAGCTCCTCTGGAAGAACAGTCAGTGTTCTTAACCTCCGAGCCATCCCTCAAGCCGGAACATTAGACTTTTACACAGGGTTGAGACTGTGATTGACTCTGTGGACTTTTGACGTTCAACTGAATGACTCAAGAAACAACAAATATATAAAGTTGTCTGTTCTCATGTGAAGAGCTGGGGAGCCCAGCCTAGCACACCATTACATACATCTGGACTTAAGAACTAAACTGAAATAAGATAGCTCAGCAGAGGAAAATGATGCAAATGTAGTTAATTCAAGTTTTACCAAGTGTGCACCTTCCTGAGGAACTGAAGACTTAAAGAAGCAGTTAGCATCAATACATATATACACTGGCTTGTATAGAAAGTAGTGATCTGTGAAAATGTGGTAAGACAAGTGAAAACAATTGGGTAGAGAAGTGACCAGGAATGTAAGTGTTTGTATAGTTTTTCCTCAGTCTCAGCTACTTTCATGACAAGAATGTCATTGTCCTTCTGGTAAGGAATAGGTGGGTGGAGAATCTTACAAAAGGGAATTTCATTTGGGGCTTTTAGAAGCAACAAGTATCAGAGTGATCTTCTTGCACTTCCTGTTTGTTTAGTGTCTTTAGCTTAAGATAATCCTGATGTCAAAGTAACATATTTGGGGATGTATGTACTGAAAGAGCTCCCAAGGGCAGAAGCTTTCTTTTTGTAGGACTATCCCAAGTCTGTCACCCACAGAGGTTTGGTAAAATTGAGGTGACATCATTGTGTAATTCCAAGACACTGAAGGACCCAGGCAGTGATCCTCAATGACATCTAGACATCATTAAAAGAGAGAAACAGCTCTAAATCCCTAGAGGAAAGGTCATACACTACTTATGTAAGACTGTTGGGTTATTGTGTGCCCTGAATGTTTGACTGTATGAAGTACATGCCTGTCAGTTTTCATTGTTTCACTTGACTACACTTAGAATTGCCTAGAAGACATGCCTCTGTCATGTCTGTGAGGGTGTTTCTAGAGTTCAAGAGAGGAGGAGCCTCCATCTTGAACATGAACACCACCAATCCATGGGCCATAAACACAAATGAATAAAATGAGGAGAAATTGGGGAAGCCTGCTGAATTCCAGTTTCCTGAATGCATATGTAATGTGACCAGCTACAGTATGTTAATATTGTTATACCTTCCCCTACAAGGAAGCACTCCCCTCCCCTACAATGTAAACCCTTCCTTCCTTAAGTTGCTATGTGTTCGGTGTTTCATTCTAGATATGAGCAAATTTAGTAATACAAAGTGTGTCCTGAGCTTTTAATTGATAA